CATCAGTTTTACATTTAACAAACCATACACTTTGCTTTACTACATGGTTGCAATCCCCTCAATGTACCAAAAGTTAACAGCACTTACCTCTGTTCACTTTAACTATTACATTCCTCCCTGTGTCTCCCACTACCTTCATCTTTCCTCTGCTAAACTCCCTCTTGTTATATATTGCCTGCTCTGTCACACATATTAACATGTGCTTACCCTCTAGCCCTTGAATAATTTTCTTTTCCCCCACCCCACCCAGTTACCATCATAGATGGTTTCTTTTATCAATAAAGTATTTTTAAACTTTTGGCAACGTTGGTCTCATATAATGTTTGTCTTTTTATGATTAACTAAATTCACATAATGTCCTCCAGACAATCATGTTGTAAGGTGTTTCATAGATTCATCATCATTTTTCAACATTTTATAGTATTCCATTACATGTATATACCAAAGTTTGTTTAATCATTCTTCTGTTGATGGACATTTAAGTTGTATCCATCTTTTTGATATGTTTTCTTATCCATTCTACTCTATGTTTCTTGATTGGTACATTTAATCCATTTACGTTCAGTGTAATTATCAAGGGTATGAATGGTTGTCATTTTTCTGTGTGTGTGTGTTTTTCTGGTGCTGCTGAGTTCATTTTGTTTGTGGGTTTTCTTGTCATTTTCATTTCTGTTATGCTAATGTTTACTAAATCTTGCTGATTTTCCTCTTTTTTATTTTGATGTGCAGCAGGTGTATTATTTTTCTTTCAGGTTACCCTATAACCCTATAATTTATTAACTTATTCTCTACTTAAAAGAGCCTTTTTTTTTTTAATACCCTGTTTTATCTTGTAATCTACTTGACTTCCTCGCCATTTGGAAATTCTGTATTTACACTATTCCCTTTTTTTGCTTCCTAGTGGACTTCACTATACATTGATATCTCTGATTCCCTCTTTTCAGTCTTGTAGGTTTGTTTTACTTTAAACACTTTGTATCAGGATTGAGCTCTGGGTGTTGTTATGTACGGTAATCTCAGGTTGTTGTCTGCTGTTGTTGCTTCTCAGTCTAATAAACACCATTTAGCATTTTTTTTGCAAAGTTGATCTGATCATTACAATTTCCTTTAATTTCTGTTTATCAGGAAATGTCCTAACTTTATCATCGTATTTGAGGGACAGCTTTGCTGGGTATTTAATTCTTGGTTTTCTTTCAGAGTTTTGTATATGTCATTCCATTGCCTTCTTGTCTGCATGGTTTCTCCTGAGAAATTAGTGTTTAGTCTTATTGGTTCTCCTTTGTAGATAACTTTTCATTTTCCTCAAACTGTTCTCAGGATTCTTTCCTTGTCTTTGATTTTGAAAATTTGATTATGATGTGTCTTGGTGATTTTCTTTTAGGATCTATCCTGTTTGGGGTTTGTTCAGCTTCAGCTTCTTGTATGCTTATCTTCTTGTCTTCCACGCGTTTTCTTGTCAGAATTGGTAATATCGAGGAGAGTATGTACACTATTTTGGTCAAGGATTTTGAAAATGTTATAGATGAGACCCAAAAGAAGTGGACCAGGGGTCCTGGAATCAAATGAGATCCAGGTATTTCACATACAGCCCAAGATGAAATGACTCCAGATTCAATTAAACAACAACATACTTTACTTTACAAAAACATAATTGTTTTCTTCCAACAACTTTTTGACAATTTTCTTTGCTCTGATCTCTTCCTGTTCTGGAATGCTTTGCTGTTGTTGTTGTTAAGTACCGTGGAGTCAGTTCCGACTCATAGTGACCCTGTACAGGGTTTCCAAGGCTGTAAATCTTTATGGGAGCAGAAAGCCTCATCTTTCTCCTGTGGAACAGCTAGTAATTTCGAACTGCTGACCCTGAGGTTAGCAGCCCGATTCGTGCTACACCTGAATTCCCATATGATTATCAGATGACCAAAACCCAGTTCATTTTAGTGCACTAATGCTGAGGATACTGATTTTT